TTAGTTTATCTATTGTTGATTATTAAATCTAGTTTTGCTATTCGAAATAATTCAAATATTGATTTATAAAAAGCGATTTATTTTGTGTTTGATGTATTATAGAAAATTTTAATTTAGTCGGTCCTTCCATATTTGAGAGTGTAACAGCCTTTGTCATTGATCTCCATCTTTTTAATATATTTTAGGGGATTACAAGTGATTTTAGTTTAAGTCATTTCTAGTCGGTTACAAGTTGTTTTTTTAGGTTAAAATAATATAAGTAACCAATTTTATAAGTTCAATAATTTATTTTATTAAAAAAAAATTGTTCAAAGACTTGATCATTCAAAATGTAAAAGTTTAACGAGTTTTTTATTCAAAAAATAATTGAGTGACTTAATCATTTGAAATGCAAAAGTATAATGAGTTTTTATTCAAAAAACAATCAAGGGACTTAATCATTCAAAACGAGAAAATTTGTTTTTAATGGAAAAATTAGAAGAAAAAAAAAACCCAAGGAACTATCATATTTTAAATTATTAAGTCCTTGGACTATTTTTTTTAATGAAAAAACCATTAAACTTTATCATTTTAAATGATTAAGGCCTTAAACTGTTTTTTTGAATGAAAAAACAATTAAACTTTTTTTAGTGAAAAAACGATTAAACTTTCTCATTTTGATTGATCAAGTCCTTGAATATTTTCTTAATACATAAACTATTACGTTTTTAAAACTTAGTCACCTATATCATTTCAATCCAAAAATAAGTTATATTAACCGACTAATAAAAGTTTGATTTTTATTTATTTTTAAAAATTTAAGGGCTTACTTATTCAAAATGTGAAAGTTTAATAATTTTTCATCAAAAAATATAGTTCAAGAAACTAAATTATCCAAAATAAGGAAGTTTAATGATTTTTTTTAATTAAAAAATAACCGAAAAATTAAAATTGATTTAAAATAAGAAAGTTTGTTAATTTTTTTAACTTTTCTTTTTAAATAAAAAATAATTTAAATAATTAATCATTTTAAATAGAATAATTTGTATTTTTTTAATGATATTTATTTTGATCACATAGAGTGTTATAATAACATAGAGTGTTAAAATAAAATTTGAAATTTTTATTCTAGAAACCTCTGGAAAAGTGGAAATAATAAGCTTTGACCGGACAATGGACATGCCATTAAAATCTCTTTTTTTGACTTTGGAATTGTCAATCAATGGTAGAGGAAGCCACCGGTAAAATGATATGGCGGTGAATGCCAGAAAAAGATATCCACAAATGGTATATATAGTTTCGTCCTACTTTTAGCCATTATTTCATACTTGAATTTTGTATTTTTTTTTCCTTTTAATCTGATTCTACTTCTTTTGGTAGTATTTCATGTGATGTAGCTGTTGTTGACTTGATGGTAGAAAGGTGTCGATTATCGAGATGTTAATGGAAATGTTTTTGTATGAGTTATAGTAGTCATATAAGGAGAGAAATTAAATACTGCACTCCAGGTGTTTGATTATTTGCCTCTAGGACTGATGATTTCGTATACGTTGTGTTGGTCGGTGGGATACTTGTACCGTACAAGATTTGATGCACTTGGGTGGCTTAAGTGATGCATAGTGATGAACAATTGTATATTATTGACATTCTTGAACCATGATTAAACAATTCCCGTTAAACTTCTTGAAAGGGGTTTACTTTTGGTCGTGCTTCCCATGCCTCTTTAAGTCTAACTTACCAGAAAATTAAAAGAGCTAAGATGGGGTGTGGTCATCATGTCACCTTTAAGGCTCTAAGGACTTCTTTAGTGAAAAGCATTTTACAAACAAAAGTAGGTCTGATCAGAAGTACTAAGGGCCTGTTTGTTAGTAGCTTAACGAGTTTAATGGGACTCATAACTTATTCAGTCAGCTATAAATGACTGTTTGGTAGTACGTTAATTATATAGAAAGTGGCTTACGGAGCAAGCTTCTAGGGAGAACTTTATGCAGAAAGCCAAGTTTTTCCAAACTTGCCCCTTCCCAATTGTAGAACACGGTCCTTCCATCTATGAAAAAACTCTTCCAAACATTAACCTCCTCAATTTATACAAAGAAATTAATCCACGGAGACAGCTTTATACTTACAGGACTTAATGGAAAACCAACCAAACAACCCCTAAAACTATTTACTACTCTTTAGGCCTTGATTAATTCTTGCCTACATAAATGTAGTAACTAATAACAGCTTTGAGTTACGCTGACATACGAATCAGAAGAAAATTTTGAAATATGATATCGAGTTTATGAAATGCATTCATGTGAGGTATAGTTGGAAGGATTCATGAGCGTAAGAGGGTAGACCTTGTTGTAGGTGACTGACCATCAAGCATATAGCTCTGGTAGAATATAACAATGATGTAATGTGATGAGCAATAAGGATAATAGATACGAGCCCGCATCGATAACCCTAAAGAATATTATCTCACAAAATGTCAAACATGAGACTCCATGTAATGGAATTATGATCCTTATGGTTCTGTTCAAATGTCATTAAGTAAAAAAAATACTATGATGTAATCCAAAAATGCGACTTTCTTTTAGCTCCAAAGGGTATGGGACAACCGACTCTTCCTGACTGTGAAGTGTCGAACATCTTCCTAGCTTTAGCATGCTAATGTCTTTGGAATATTATACCACGTTAAGAAAATTTCAAACAATAATGTGTACTTTTCAAGAAGTCAGAATGGTTGACTGCTTGTGCGCATGCTCACTTGTATCTCGTCAAAGCCCGCCCCATTGACATGAGAAGTTGACGTGGTCATCCTCCAGCTAGCTCCTTTCTGGTTAACTTATCTAATGATGCTTAGCTAGTGCAAATCAGTTAACTGGTACACTAATGGGAAAATGGGGTGGGCAAGGTAGACGTACCTGAACCTAGTGATTATATGGTTGAAGCACTATAAATGTTTTCTCTGTTCCATTAAAGTGAGAAGAAGTTCTTTTTTGGGTGCCTATGAAAATTACTCCATTTCGTCCCAGAATAAATGTCCACAATGAAAAAAGCACATAGTTTTAGGAATGTGTAATTATTAGACTTTTTAATTAACAATGTCACCCTTAATTATATAGAGAAATTTTCTCTATCTTATAATTAAGGCTAGAATGGGAAGGTAACATTTACTTTTGAAAGTGGACACTTATTTTGGGACGGAGGGAGTCCAACTTTTCCTCTTGGGGAAATATTTGAAGTTGAAGTTGCATATATGTCCATGATCATCATCACAAATAATCAATGGTATTGGTGTGAGTCCACAAGATCCCTTTATTTTGCTTTTATTGAAGAAGTTATATCAACAAATAGACAAAAAATTTCCTTAAACTTATACGCCAAATAGAACATCACAGTTTTTATGGAAAGGGGGAGCATGTAAATTGAAGAGAACAATTAGGTTTCATTAATTCCCTTTCTTAATGAAATACACCTATAGGCTAGGGTGATATTCTATGTTCACATTTTTGTTTCCAAAATCCAAAGAATGTAGGACAAGGAGATGGCTAGGTTTACGAGCTTGTAGCATATGTATATGTATATGTACATGTATACTTACATACACAGTGTTGTACCAAGATACATCACAGATGCATGCATGTTCGGTATATATGTATACATGTGTCATATACATATCCATTACTTATCGCACTAGCATGCATACTTGTATGGAAAATATTTGTATAGTATAAACTTCTCACTCTAGCTAGCATGCACTTATGTGAGTAATGCAGGCCTTAATTTCTTTTGATCAGTGTCATATGAATTTGGACACCATTTTTAATTTGCAATAGAAAAAAAATACTTAATAGTATGCACATCGTGGCTAACATAGACCTTTTTTAACATTCTACATTGTTGGTTTGACTTCAATTATGGTCAGATAAACCAAAAAAAGAACTGACACTGTTGACCTAAAATTTGTTATGATCATAAATAATGATACTGCAAGAATTGTCAAATGAGAGACTCCCAAGTAATGGGATTTGTTATCCTTAACATTTTGATTCAGATGCAGTGAAGTAAGGAAATACCATGACAGAATATAAAGTCTGATTTTTCAAGTTCTGGAGTTGGAGGCAGCTGACTCTTCCTGCTCAAAGGCGTCAAAACATCTTCTATCCTTTTGACATGCTAATGTTGTTTGACTATCACACAATACATTAAAGAATGTCAAAAAGGTATGCTTTTTGTCTGGAAGTCAGATTCGTTGACATTTTATGTGCATTCTCATATGTATCTTTTTAATTCGTGCCCTGTTGACATGAGAACTTGAAGAAGTCGCCTTCCAGCTACAGCCAGCTCACTGCTGACCAAATTATCCAACATCAGTACTTGCCTAGTGTAATGCAACTAGCTGATACACCAAAAGGGAAGATGGGCAAAAATCGTTACATGCTATTTACAAATTGTTGGCTAAGCTTTATACTTGTAACTATTATGTTGAATTACATCTTTTATTTTGGTTCTAGTCCGATGTACTTTTTCTTATTATTTTGGGTAAGCTGTGCTGCTAAGATGATGATGGTGGACTGGTGGCCCTATAATAGTTGAGCTGTAAAACAAGATTGTTGTATGACTAGTAGCGTTTTGCTTGACAGAGGGCAGCCATTTAACGATAAAATATGCACGATAAACGTTCGTTTATACGCCTCAAAAGGTTATTACTTGAATAGATTGTGTCAGTTGGTGAACAAGTATATGCATCATGATAATGAAAATACTAAGCATCATAGACCAACGGGGTTCTTTTACCAGACAACTCTGGATGCATATATTAAGTTAAAATATGCATGTGAGCTGCTTGATTTGTGTCTACATGAATTATTATTATTAACAATAAACATTATATTATGCCACAAAATATCTTATACAGCATACTCCAACTTGAGTATTTCCATAAATAATCTAGGATTATAAATAAAACTTTCTAGAGCTATGTCCTAGACGAGTAGACGCCTTCTGTTGTTCTGCACTAAGTAGAAGGAAATATTTGCACCTTGATATCTTTATGGTAGCAGAACATTGGGCTCTTCATTGCCATCTTGCAGGAGAGGGGACTTTAAGCTCCCAACCATGTTGGCTTCGACAATTTTATCTTCTTTAGCCTTACCCAATATTACACCATAGAATCCAATTACAATGACTAATGATCCGAGTAAACTGCCACAAATTTGAACACAAAGTCAATGATATGTCGTGAATATAACACAAGAACTGAGAAAGATGGGTACATACCATCCAAGGTAGAGACTATCCCCTAGAAATATGACCCCCATAATAGCTGCAATGACAATCCCTAATGGATGAAACATAGCAACAAAAAGTGGCCCTTTCATCTTCACACACCAAGCTCCAATTGTTATTTGAAAACCAGCTCCAAAGAACCCCTGCATTGTAATTTTACCCTTAAAGAACGAATAATTATCCTTTGGGGGGGAGATAGTAAGTAGGAAGATCTCGACTTACTGCATACAGAATGGCAAGTAACCTCGTTTTAGACTGTAAACTAAACGCACTCAGGTCGTGTTCCAAACTCAATGAAGCTAAAAGAGATAGGAAGGTAATAATGGAGCAGTAAGCCAACATCAAAATCAGCACTGCTGAGTATTTCTTGAGGATTAATGCCTGTAAATACTCATAAGTAAGCAAACTTATATAAATACTTAGTATTAATGTACCTGTGTGTAAGTACTAATGTACCTGTGCAATAATGAAGAAAGCAGCTAAGACACTGTCGATTAGCATCAGCACCCCGCCAAGGATCCAATCTGATGATTGCCCTAGGAGATGTTGTGGGGTGATTGAACTTAAACTAGACGTTATAATTGCAGGCCCTGTGTAGACAGTCACGATGATGGCCCCTACAACTGAAACTAATGTTCCAATGATTTTGGCCCACAAGGCCCACCCTCCATAGTCGAACCTTTCTATCCTGAAAGAGTTGTAAAGTTTATCTTTTTGTTGTGAATTCTCATTCTTTTAGTTATGTTTTTAACTTTTTCAAATCATGTAAAGAAGAGATTCTTGGTTACCCAAAGATGATGGCAAGCACAAAAGTAAAGCCTGGTATGAGGTTGAGAATTGCTGTGGCAACTGTAGCAGGAGCATATGTAAGTCCTGCATAACCAACTACCTGTACCAAGAAACTGGAAAAAAAATGGATTGATAAAAAGAAACAGATTCTTGTAGGTTGGTCACCGATCAATCACTCTACAACCAGATCCAGCCTAAGAGGTGTGGTAGCTTTCTTTTGGGTGTGCGTCAAGCACAATTGTCGATTAAGGGTGTGAACCTTCAGGTATATATACCTTTATGTTACGTATGCAACTATTTTTATGAAGCTTCTGTAGATTATAGACAACCGAGTGAACAACAATTTTCAGATTTCTAAGTATATAGTAGTACTTGAGGTATCCCACTTGATGGACAATGCTTAAGGAAGATGCCTCCCTTTTGTGTGCCAATCGAATGTAATACATCTGGCAACTGCATACTTGACTTTCTTTTATTCAGCTACGTTCCAAAAGGCCTTACCGACTAAGCTACCACCTAGTTACCCATTAGGGTGTGTTTGGTACGAGGGACGGAGCAGAAGAAAAACTTGTTGTCCCACGACATGATATGATTGAGTGGGACGAAAATGCATTTATTTTGCTCCCACCAAGATGGGTGGAACAAAAATCCGGGAGATGGGGCAAGATTGGTGAATTACTAAACTACTCATGTCAAATTGAAACCCTGAAACCTTGCATGATTCTTTCACCCGCCTACCTCACTCTTGTGTCTTGTCCGTTCTGTTCATTCCAATCTAGTTTGCTTAGCAAACGCACCCTAAGGACTGCAGTTGACTAGTAACATTAATGATTTGAAGACAAGACGAAGGATTGTGTGAGAATAGGAGTTAAAGTGAGAAGTATAAGAAGGGATTTGGACCCTTGATCACTTTTAATCCCAAAACAACCCATGAATTGCACTTTAGAAGAGAATTGATCTAGTAGTTCTCTTCAATTAATCCAAGGTTGGAGATCCCTTCTTACCTTTCTCACCATAACTTTCATTCTCACCAGAACCCAAACCTTGAAGACAAATTATCTGGATTCTTTAGAGATCTATAAGGATAATGAAGTACATGTGCGACAGGCTATACAAAAAATAGATACCCTAGGATGCCGAGCACTAGAAAACCACCGGCGACCGAGAGAGTTAGTGCCGGGCGATTTGCTGATCTGCAAAACATACAAAGATTCGGAGTGTAAATTGCTTGTAGGATGCATATAGAAGAACAAGAAAAGAGAAGAAATTGTAGTACCTATGAATGAGAAAAGAAGCAGGAAGAAGAATAAGGGATGCTAAAGCATTGGAATAGAACACGTAGGAAAAGTTGTGCATCCCGGTTGCTATGGCTTTCTTGCCAGCTAACGTTAAACCCACCTGCGCAATCTGACCAACCACCATTGCCACAAATGGCAATGCACTCCTCATCTTCATCTTCATCTCTCTCAGGGAACCAGGTCAACTGCAAGATCTTGGAGATCCAAATCGGTATAAGAACCACCGAGAGTCCGAGCTTCTTATATTTTAGTCAAATTGTAGCAGTCAACAGTAACTTAGTATCACATTGAAATCAATTAGAGTGTAGTGAAATCTAATTTAATGACTTCTTAAGTAGCAGGACCACTTTGGATGTTAGAAATTATGTTTGTTTATTTATAATGGTTAAGAATTATGTGTTTCCTAGTAACAGGACCACATAGTGATGTTAGAAATCACATATTTTATTTAAGATTGGATTCTTTTATTTGTAGAAGGTACATCATGTGCTACTTGTTTGATTAATTTATGATTAATGACCTGCAAAATGGCTTTTCCTAGGTTTTTGTTTAAGAATTTGTGGATCACATGTGTTCAGATTCAAATTTTAGGTTTGAGAAAGTGTGTCGTAGGAAAGAGAGTGTTTGATTAGTGGAATCTTGTAGGGAGGAAATGACCAAATTTTCTTGTGTTGGCATATTATAGTGTACCAGATTTAGTGAATGTAGAAATATGCAAGTGGTGGTTATAGCAGGTCAAAGCATTGACCCAGCCACAGGAAAGTGATTGGTTATTAGAATCTCATTGGCCAGTAATCTGGCCAAAATTTTCTTATGTGGACAGAGGCATATATACCAAATCATGAAAAGAAAAAATATATATTGGTGGCCCAAAACAAAAGGATCAGTACTTCACTTGCTGATCGTTCGCGACGACTCTAAGAAATAATGGTCTCGAACATAGGGGAATTCAGATGATCTGTTCCGTCCGGATATTGATCGGTCTTGAGTGATTTGCCTTCTCCACCCCTTGTTGTCCAACCTGACAGCGAACAACTAATATATATATATATATATATATATAKATGTATATATATATATAGAGAGAGAGAGAGATTTGGGATCATGTGAGACAAGGCTGTTTTCATGAGACACGATCTTTACACCTGAAACTTCACAGCAAAACACTGTGAAGGCAACCTTCACAGCACCCCCTTTTTAATTCCTTTTCTAAATTTAGAAAAACTGAGTAGCAGTTGAGGTCTAGAGGGATATGGTGGAATATCGCATCTATCCCGGGTTCATTTTGTGGAATCTACAACAATTGTGACAACTGAGTTTATTAGGATCGATGTCTTATAATTTTAGTTTATCAGGATTAGTTTAGACATAGTTTAGATAGCCTGAAGTTTGGGTTATGAAGGAAAGCACCATTAATCAACACATGGATCAGATGCTCAAAAGATTGGGTCTGAAGTTGTGGATTGAATTGGTATAGATGTAAGGACCATTCCAAGGCTTCCGCATGCACAAACACGATGGTTGTGTTGCGTTTTGCATGCCATTCGAGTGGATATCTTTTGTTTTGTATTTTGATCTCTTTAATAAATTGTGTTTGATGGCTATAAACTATTTTTTCTTTTTTGTGGTTATTGAAAAAAATGGAAAAAAATGAAGGATCGTGTGAGAATGATTGTGAAGGTGAGAAAGGTATATGGAGCCTTGATCACCTTTAATCTCAAACTCACTCATGAATCCTGATTGATTCGGGGATTAATCTGGTGCATCTCATCTTGGTGGATCTAAAGGTGGAGATTCCTTTTTACGTTTCTCACTTTAACTATTTTCCTCATAGAGACCCACCCAACCCTATTGAGAAAACTCTATTGAGATCATAAGCTTGCTTATTGAGACGTTATTTGAAGTAACGTTTTAATAACCTAATTTTTTTTATCACTTTCTTCTACTTATGCCTCTAATTATTTATTATTAATTATTGTTATTTAGTAAATAATTTTTTCAAAAAGCATTCAATTACCAGTTAAACATATTTTTTGAAAAATATTAATAAAGTAGTTTATAAAATAAAGTACGCTTTTTACTCATTACGTGCGAGTCAAAAGTTTATCGATTGATATCGTAAAGTTCCTGCATTTATATGGTTACAATCTATATATCTATATAAAGGAGAATCTTCAAAAGATGATGTGGCATCTTGAGAGAGATAGAATCATTAGTTGCTATTTTTTCCAATTTTTAAATTATTTTTAAATAAAAACATATCATTAAATAAATAAATCTTTCATTTACTTTATATGTATAAGTTACATATAATGATCTAATAAACCTTTAAATCTTTATATATCTATAAATATATAATCTATATATCTATAATCTATAAGTAAGAACCAAAAGACATAATATGGCACAATGTGAATCGGGATTCCAAAATATTGAATTGTAGTTAACTTTTTTCATCTCTTACTTTGATAAAAAGATGATATGTCGGCCCAACCCTTGGGTCTTGGACTATTCTTTATCTCCAGCTTATGGATCGGTTTGTTGCTTGTGTTCGTTGGTTGTTTCAATCGAATTTTGTCTCTAGTAGTAGGCCTTTACTGTGTGTGTTTCCCAAACATTTTTTTGGGATGCATATATTTTTTCTTTCTTGGAGAATGCCCCTCGTAGTTGTACTCTTTTTCTTTAATTGAATAAATTTTTCTTGGGATTCCGTCCCCTTTATCCAAAAAAAAAAAACCAAGAGAAATGAAATGGCACAATATGGATTGAGAATTCCAAAATATTGAATTATGGTTGACTTTGTCTATCAATTGATATAATCTTTATATATATATATATAGAGAGAGAGAGAGAGAGAGAGAGAGATTGGTTATTATACAACTCATGACATTTGTGCAACCAATACAACCTAATCTCAATTGTTCATTTCATTTGATTAATGTGTGATTTCATATAAGTTTTGATTGTTTTCTAATGTAAAGTATTGATCATAATTAATGAACCATATTCATCTTCCATAAATATTCAAATCATAATAAATGAATTTTCATCATTTCCATAAATATTTCAATTTATTGGATTGCATTGTTTGTACAAATGCAACAGGTTGTATTTGAAACAAACTTTATATATATAAACATGTCATTAAATGAATGAACCTTTCATTTACTTTATATATATAAGTTACATATAATGATCTAATAAACATTTAAATCTTTATCTATATATATCTATAAAGAAGAAACATACAGTGTTGACATGACATTTCCTTATACTAGTATTCATTTCTTCCTTTTTTTCTTTTATTTTAGGTTTTATATTTAATCTAAAACTTTTACTCTTAATATTCTACCGTTAAAATTTTTTCTCTTCTACGTCCTTCTATCATAAACTTCTTTACTCTTCATCTTCTATCGTTACAATTCCTTCTCTTCTACATCTTTCTATCACAAAGAAATCATGGATTAACAATATAACTGGCGGTACGCCTCTCTCTATCTTTCTATGCATCTATAGAAAGATATGAATCAATAATTATGGGTGTTTTACTTCTATTTTCTTGATCTCTCTATCCACTTTGTTGTCTGCGATTATAAGCAAAACTGAAGGAGATTAGAGAAACCATATAAGGAGGAACAAGAAGAGTCTATTGCAAAATCAGTTGCTGGTGTGTTTCGTTCATCTCTGAAGTTCCGAGAAAATTAATTAGATGATTTCATATCTCCATGAGACTGGATATATAAAATGTGGAAATAGTATGTTTTCATTTTGAATTACTCCCTCAATTTTCCACACAATATGGACTTTGAAGTCGATCTAGATATGTCAGATTGGTAATTTTGTTATTTTCATTTTGACAATTGCAAATTATTTTTGAAAACTATTAATTATTTATCTTTTATTACATTTTTTGAGGATTCGGGATATTCATAGAAGGAAAAAAAATGATAATTTCCCATCTTTTTTTGAACTAAAACATAATTTGATAATTTTCTACTATAACCACGTTTCATGGCACAATGTTAATGGATTTTTCAATATAAAAGGTAATATTCGGCTTTACATCTAATAATATACCGAATTGATATATGTTATTTATAAATTATATTTTTATTTTTCACAAGAAATATATTATACCTCTCTTTATTCTTATAATAATAAGACAACCAAAACCAATAAATTAGTTATATATCTATAGAATTTATTATCTGTCATTTCACAATTTAACTTCTTTTACACTACATATTCATTTTTCTGCAACCAATATATTTTAACTCTCTTTTTTCTAACATAATAAAACATTCAAAAATAAAATTGTAACATAATTATTATGATACATTTTAACACTTTATATCGAATTCAAACTTATATATTCATTTTTCTACAACCAATGCATTTTAACTCTCTTTATTCTAACAAAATAGAACATTCAGGAATAAAATTGTAACACAATTATTGTGATACCTTTTAACACTTTATATCGAATTCAAACTTATCGATGCTTTCTTTCATCAATCAACAACGACCGCACGAAACGCGGTAAAGTTACCTAGTTATGGATTAATTTATAAAATTCTTTGCGTTCCAAACATACAATTGTCTTGATATGTGAAAATTTCTTAATAATATTACAAATAAAAACATAGAATCACATAAAACTATATTACCTCAAGACAAAATTTTGAAACATTAAAAAATCGAGATATATCCTACTGTATTGTGCAAGTACCCTTTTGATGTAAACATGAAAACCAATCATAATAACTAACCATTCGGGCATTACTAAATTTACCATCAAATTAACCATGGCTTGATGAGCAGATGCAAAAAAAATCTATACAAGAATCGATATCAAAATATATAATTATAGAAAATATTTTCGAGATTAATAATAAAAGATGTGAGATTTTGCATAGAACAAACAAAAATATTACCTTTATCTATCCAAACCTTTTTAACACCCAAGACAGGATGCAAAATTTCGCTTGTAACACAACAAGAAGGGATTTATATGATGATCAAAAGCCATTTTTCCAATTATTTTTTTAAAAAGAAACGAGAAGTATCGACCCATTTCAACTGAGCTTATAAATAATATCAGTAAGAAAACGAAGCAAGATATCTGGCTCGCTTTTGGGTAGTCAAGTGGTTACATTTACTTCCCATCCCAATACTCGTACAGCCAGGTACAAGTGTCAGACGTTTTTTCTTCATCGCAACACTTACCTTTGTGACCACGGTATACACAAAAGAGGGCGGAGGAAGCTATCATTTTTCAGCAGCCAAGTGAGATATCCTAACTATGACGGCATCAGAAGCTTTCTTTGCGGAGGGAAGCTACCATTTTTAAAGTGCAGTTTGGATTCGAAGGCCGTTCAAAGTAGTCATTAACAACCACATGAAGCGACGATGATGATCATGATGATGATGATGCAGTGCAGAGAAGAACATATGACGCTAAACCATGGTGTAGAGTCTAACATGCAGAGATAATGGAGGGCGGAGGGCGAAGGCCGCGATAACCAAACCTCACAACAGAAGGGGGAAAAGTATGAAAAATGTTTAGCAACCAAATACTCCAAATATATGTCATCACAAAAGCATTATAATAAATAGTAAAATTAAGTACGAAAGGGACCTCTAAGTTTTAGCCAGCTGAATAGAGCGAAGCCGACACAAGAAGTTGGACTCCATAGCGCCCCACCTCTTTCAGCAGCAGGTCATACAGTGCAGTTTCCACTAAAACAAAACCCTACCTCCAATTTGTTCACAGTTTCTCATCACAAATACATTGATGATGCCAGGGGTATCCTTTACCAGCTCAGCCATTTGCTTCCATCCCAGCTCCAACCGCTTACACTCTGAAAATAAAAATACGTATCACCTTATAATGCAAATCAAATGTGAATTGCAAATAATCAGTATAGCAAAGAATAAGAGCTTGTTTGTTAGCAGCTTAATGAGACTCGCAGCTTATTTGATACTTTATAATATATTAATTGGTTCATTCAATAAGCTTGTAGGGGAGCGTTATGCAAAAAGCCAAGTTTTTTCCATCTATGAAAAAACCCTCCCAAGCAAAAAAATCTCAGTCTATACAGACAGACTAATCCAACACAGACAGCTTTATCCATACATGACTTGATGGAAAATCAACCAAACAGTGCCTTACGGGGTAACATATCAATCATATTAACACATCTATGACCCCATTGCAACCTCAGTTGCATCAGAAAAGGTTAGAGGCAACATGAATACTATGTAATTATGGGGTAACATATCAGTCATATTAACAGGTCCTGGTCTTCAGAATACAGCCCACTTACTGCATGTAAAAGTGAGCAAACTTGCTGAACAAAACAGTGCCTGCCCCATTCAGCCACATGCAATTTGAACCAAGAAATGCATGCTGATTCGGTAATACACAACTTGATACAAGAATGATTTCCCACAGAGGCATTACATGCTTTGATGCAAGAGTGCATGCCCAATTAAGACATATATGTGAACATGTACCATAGTGTTTATACATGAGTAGTTGTGTTGTGTTGGCCATAAGGAAAAAATAATGAATGGAAGCAAAAGCAAAATACCCATTTGCATATGGTGAGTCACGTCGGGCACGGCGATATGGAGGAGACCTGCTGTAGCTACGACCCCGACGAGGAGGTGGTGATATGCTACGGCGAGGAGATCTTCTTCCACGAGGACTGTAGCGTGGACTATAACTCCTGCAAAACAATCAAGTGTTACCAATATTGAGAGCCTCAAGCAAAACCGAGCTGCCATATCCTCAAAACAAATACCTTAGTATGAAAAGTTACATACTATTAAGTAAATATTCACTATGCCACTACCATCAGCATGCTACACCTGATTGACCTTTTATGGGATTAACAACATAACAAGTGATGATTTAGAAGGAAAAAAAGCAACACCCACATAGGACGAAAGGACTGTTTAATTCATCATCTATGCTTTCTGCACTTATTGTTAACATTGAACCCTCCTTTTTTTTCCACTTTAACCCCTATGTAACCAACAGAATTAAAAAACCAGAATTGCAGACAAGCCGATTGAATCAGATCGCTCTTCGTAAGGGTTTGATGTGAACCAAATGTATTTCGTTGTGGTCGATCATTCCCATAGGCAAAGTAGATTTCATATAAATATGTGAAACATAATACTCCTAATCTTGGATATATTCTAATAACTAATTTCCTTTATCATGTTGCCATGACCGACCACTGTCACCTAAAATGCAAGTGGTGGGGAAAATATACAGACATCTTATTCATAACTATATCAATAAAATGATCATATGATCTCACGGCGTCAGCTATATTCTGTAAATTATTTGCTAAAATGCATAAGACCAAGGATTCAAAATATATAAATAAACAAGGTAAAACTGAACTTACCGACGCCCATAACTTGGACTCCTGCGTCGCCTTGGACTTGGGCTACGACGACGTCCACTTCCTAAACCTCGTGGCCCAACTCGTAAGCGACATTCTCTTGCAAAATGACCAGCCTCACCGCATTCATAACACTTGAGATCTTCACCGCCACCGCCACCACGGCCCCTGCCCCCACCACGGCCTCCACCACCTCCTTTTGAATTGTGAGAGAGCTCCACACGCCAGCCATTCTTTCCTGTTAACCGAATATACAGGAACCCATGTAATTATAGGAAACAGAACTATTATGATAATTATAATGAGCAATGCTAAAAAGAGCGCTAACACCCAAACCCAACAGAAACAATCCTCAAATGACCAGAACCTATTGCTCACATTAATGAGATTGCAGTTCAACAACAGTTTTAGCATAAACACTATTTTAATCAAGAACCATCAAAAGGTCATTAAAATAAAAACATGTTACAGAAACCACTAGCATTCTGATGGTGATAATACTTTCATGCAGACTTCAAACATACCATCCAGTGCCCGAATCGCATCTAGAGCATCCCGACGATCATCAAATTCAACAAATGCATAACCAGGTGGTCTCCTAGCAACCCACACACTGCAAGAGTTTCAAACACAATAAAGGAGAAACATCATTACATGTGGAAATCTACTGGAACCACAAAATACTTCATTGGCCAAACAACCCAATTGGAAAGAAATGAATGACAAAATACTCTTGTATTACAGCTAAAGAAAGGACGATGGCATCTTGCAATATCTTTTACAGATGTTTTATCCCTTTTGTTCCAAAGAAAAGGGAAAGATTGCATGTTCTTTGGATTTCATTCCCAAATTAACACCAACATTTGGAAATCTACTGGAACCACAAAATACTTCATTGGCCAAACAACCCAATTGGAAAGAAATGAATGACAAAATACTCTTGTATTACAGCTAAAGAAAGGACGATGGCATCTTGCAATATCTTTTACAGATGTTTTATCCCTTTTGTTCCAATGAAAAGGGAAAGATTGCATGTTCTTTGGATTTCATTCCCAAATTAACACCAACATTAGGGTATGAGTGGTACCTGTTTAAGAAGTCCAGTATTACAATTTTAGAGAGGTTGAAAAGCAATGTGTTTGGCCTCCAAATCGAAGCGATTTATCGTATCATTTAACTCGTGGAATGATCAAACAAGGTTTCATAGATGTTCTCGTTCTTTTTTTTCGAGATTACCGACCGTACAATAACAAATCACCATGACTAAAGCACAATAAAAGCAACTATCAAACATAAATCGATGTAACACTCACTTCCGTAAAACGCCATATACGCGAAATTCATCTTCAAGCTCTCGCTCGGAAACCCGAGGATCCAAATTTCCAACGTACACACGAGACATATCCCTTTATCTGTAACAAATAGAAAAAAATATCACATATCAGCCATCAGAAAACCGCAACTCCCACCGATACATCACAAGAACGAACGAATCTACAAAAAAATAGCCAGGAATTTTCCAAAACGCTTGAAAGATTGATCAAATATCAATTCCATGATGCTTACCAACGTCAAGATTTTAATCGTTTGTGGTTCGATGGAAGAAACTGAAAGGCGATCTGAAGAACAAAAACCCTAATCAGCGACCGCAGGAACGCGAAATTCTAGATTGGGGAAAAAAGGGGAAAGCGTGGTGCTTTTTCTAACACACTCAAGGTACGTGGGCTTTGTTTTATGACCCAAAACGTATGGGCCTCATCTTAATGGCCCACTAATTATCCTTTTTGTTACGGGGTCGTTTACCAAATACTAACTTGGGTAAATGCTTACCAAGTAACATTATCTTACTGGATGAATATAGTAAGAACCAAAAATCTTACCTGATAAAAACAAGACAAGGACAAAGAGTCTTACCCAGTAAGTGAGGGTGACGACTCTTACCACGATAAGCGCTTACCGGATAAATTGTTGCATACGAAATCATTTTGGTGGACTAAAATCTTACCTGTCAAGTAAATAATAGTGTTAAATTTTACCGGTAAATACTTACCGGGTAAGTGTTTGGTAAACGACTCCTTAGTCATCTTAATGGCCCGCTAATTATCTTCTTCCTTATTGGGTGTTAGAGGTTCAACTTAATAAATTTAGTGAATGGTTAGTTTAATTAATTAAGTTATATTAAGACGTTTGATTTTGACTTAATACTAGGAGATTGACTTAACATGTTAAGTTAGCTCATCCTATCTTACTGCATTAAGTTATAATTTTTTCCAAAATTACCCTTATCCTATAATTTTTAATCACACATCTCATTAAATATTTCATCAACATGCATAAGTTAAACATTTTAATCAAATAATAATACTTTATTGTTGTTTCAAATATATTTTAACATCCGTTGAACTTGTATTATTAATGTTTTTATAAATAATTCATTTTTTTTAATTTCGTCGTTTTAAATATTTATCAAACTATTTATTTTCATTCAAGACTTGTGTAGGTATGAGGTTAAAGTGGTAATTTTTGTTGTTCAGATTGTTTATTCAGAACAAAAATCAAACGACGATTTATCTTAATTTACCCGGACAGGCTAATACCTAAAGACAACTTAGTAGATTTATACTTAATGGATAACCTCTTGCTTCTTAATAACCCACTAAATATCCTTACCTATCTTGATGGCCCACTAAGTATTCTCTTTTTTACTGGGCCTTATTCATTTGAATGGCCCACTAGTTATCCTCTTTCTTATTAGGCCTTACTTTAGTGCCTTACTACTCTTAATGGCCCACTAATTGTCCTACTTGTATTTGGGCCTTACTCGTCTTATTGGGTCATCAACCATGCTCTTCCTATTTGGGCCATGATCGGTTATACAAGTTATACAAAATTAATTCTTTCAGGGGTGGTTGGACTGGAGACGCATACGGTTCGATCTTTTTGGGTCTAGTTCCCATTCTTCCATGCCCGTTTTCAGTTACTGAAAAAACCCAGGTTGTTTAGGCCTAGATCGGGACAGGTTTTGAGGTTGAAAAATGGCCCAATAACGCTTAACAATCCTGACTTTTTTCGGGCTTTTTCGGGTTCAGTGGAGGTTTTCTAGATTTTCTCATGTCGGGTTTTCCATGCCTACCCCCAAAATTCCTTCCTGGTCGGACTTCGAGACTTGACTTGACTCGGATAGGGCTTCAACCTCACTACGTCCGGACTTTTTCGGGATTACAAAAAATCTCATCATAACAGTATTTCGACTATATATATCTCCAATATTTAATTAAAATAAATACTTTATTGATATATATATTTATTTATAGATTCAAAAATTCATTGGATATTCATTCTAAAATTAAGAAGCAAATCTTTAGCTTTTAAGTCATAACTGAACTACATCATTCACACATATTAAAATTTATTTTCTCAAAAATATAATTAATATAGAAATGGAAATGCAAAATATCAAATATTAAATAGATATGTACAGTAATATTTTTTGATTTGTTTGGTCAAAAGGATGAGGCCAGAGTTATTAGCACCAGAATATTGACTTTGACTTGGAATATCTCTTTTTTGAAAGTTAGTTTTTCTATATTTAAAATAAAAAATTGTAGCAAAATCTATACTTATTATAAAATATTTGACAAAAACTTTTAAAAATTATTTTTTAAATATAAAGTAATCTTTATTGATATATATTGCTTAAAATTCAATATTACAAATAAATTATATGTAAGTATTTATTTGTAAGTACAGTTTATTAAAACTTCATGTTTGAATTCATGTAACTAATTGCAGATAAAAATAATCAAATAAATGATAAATATCTCATTTTAAATATAAAAAATATAATTAAGATGATCATTGAGTTCTGACAAACTACTTAATTATTATTTTTATAAAAAAATTACACAAAAAAATGAGAAATATTAAATAGTTAGTTTAACACTAATATCAATGACCTTTTTTCAAGTTTTTATAATATATCTTTATAGTTATATGTTATTCAAAAATAAAAATATTATCGCTTTCTTCAAAACCCATAAAACTGTATTCTAGCATCAAATGAGACAAAAAAAAAACATTAAAATCGAAATATTTTAATCCGCTGCATTGTGCAAGTACCTTTCTAGTATAAATTAATATATTTGAAGTGCCAGATTATATTCTTTTTACAACACTTTTTTATTTGAGATATGAAATTAATTCCATAAAAAATTTACAAAGTAGCTATCGTAGTTTAATATCTAAGTTACGTATTTGCATAATGCAAATCAAGGATAACGATTGAGATATGAGAACTAAAAGAAGTAACATAATGTTATATTAAAAGGAGGGGAAGAGGGGGGGGGGTCACGTCCGTGTTGGTCCCTTCATTACTCTTCCCATTTTAACGTCGTTGTCAACAGATAATATCCTCATCATCCTCAATTTTCATCATAAGATGGGTAGTCAGTTTACATTTCAAGCTATCAACGGAACCTATTTTGTATGAATTATGAAACAGACATCTATAAATCAAATTTGAATAAATAACAAATAAAATTGAGGTCAGATGTTGGGAGAAACGTAAGTTTATAGGATAACTGGTGTGTGAAATACATGCACCATACCAAAAAGGGGCTTTGACCCGACAGTACCCATGTTTTTTTTTTGTAAGGGTGTCCGGGCCAAAGCCCGACTAATTCCCGGCAAATTTTGAAGCTAAACATGACTCCACTTAAATGTCGCCAACACTCCCCTCTCAGGGCTCGAACTCGGGTTCATGACAGTACCCATGTTACTGGTATAGTCCAGTATTTTATGAGGTCAAGGGTTTCAACCTCACAAAGGATGTGAGTTTATTTGTCGTGTATCAGTATTAAAAATACTTCAAAAAAACGTGCACCATACACGGAAATGTGCCTCGTGTACTTATGCATGCCAAGTATTCCATATCCCATTAAATTCATTATGTTTCAACATCGATATCTGAAATCGCTTGAACCACCTACAAAAACCAATATCATCGCTGTCTTAGCAAGAGTAGAACTCGACAAAATTCCAAGAAAGGCCGCACGAGTGTTCTTGAAAGATCCTTATCTTTTGGAGCGTAAAACTTCTACATTTCTTATAAATTGGAAGCAAGCATAGCAGTTGTCAACTTGTCTAGAATGAAAATGACAAAAGACGATGGGACACAACATTAAATAGCTTAATTGAAAGGGCATGAAATATTATTAGGAAGTAGATAACTTTGTGGGGTTAGATTCAACTTAATGCAAAAAATTGGTAATAAGCCATGTCCCACAATTAACAATATGGCTTGAAGTTTTAACAAATACATGCTTCAAAAGGAAAATAAATTTTATGTGTACGTGCTATTTTTTAACTGTGAACATAAAAATACAAACTATTAATGTTTTTTCATATTTGTTTGAATATGGGTCAGCTTATACGCACATCCATCAATTTTAGGGGCCCGTAAAGTTAATAGTTGAGGAAAACGTCAAGTGCCTCTGATGAAACTTGAATTAGATTGACTAATTGAGCTACCGCAAGGTAGCGTATTCATTATGACCTAACAGGGGGCAAGGATCATGATTCATTACTGCATATAAAACTAATCAAGATAGTGTGATTCAGCTCGAGAATATATGTATGTCAAATGAATTGATGTTATTTGGCTGATACTTGATTATTGAACCAGGTGTTTTTGAGAATTAGGTATGTGCTACTGTAAAATAATCAAATAACTAAGAATCTACCTGAATTACACACTAAACCAACCCCATCAAACATATAACCATAATTTGGGTGTCGATGAAAGAGTTGCATAAGCACATTTATTAAACACGGAAACTATGATATGATTTTGGCGAAATTATTGGCACACATAAACGATGGGAGCCTGCTTTAGGATTTAAAAACAAACCTATCGAGGTTAGGAGGGAGCAAATGAGAGTGAAGAGGAGAAAATAGACCATGAGCCCGTTTAGGGATTTAAAATTGATGTTTTTTTTTTTAAGATTGTGGTTCCATTGGTAGTTACGACTCTATTGTGGGCCATGGCATATTTGCGAAAGTGAAAAGAAGCCCACGAGCTACCATAAGGCGTTAAAAGGAAGTTACAACTCGTATGATATACACGAGAATTTTGAAATAAGATTTGGTAAGCTGTTCATTTACTTGTTACAGTTAAAAATGTGGGAATGAAAACTTGTTTCCTGTATTGTTTTTTTATTAATTTCAAACAAATGATATATAAACGATCAGCAGTGGGTTGGGACAACGTTTTACAACTAAACAATAATAAGCATGTTAAGATAGCATACTTGGGATGTCCCAACAGGGCGAGGCTTGTGATTCTTTACCAATTCTTAATTGATCCAAATAAATGTATTCATTCAGACATTTCAAGATCAATCGATACAGATTGTAGGAAAAGTGTCGATCGATCTTACCACCGACACGAATCATACACACCACTTATTCTATACGTTTCCGTTTGAAATCAAACCAAAAAATACACATGTTGACTATTTATGTGGATTTCCAAAAAGGGTTTTACTCAAAAATATTTTATTTAAATTTATAATTATACACCTTTTTCTGTTGTCAACTTCAATGGCCCCAAATCCCAATTATACACTAAGCACCAACAATACATTATTTGGTGCC